CACGCCGCCGCCCGCTCAACCGCATCGTCTACCCGCAATTTCGTATCACGTCCGCCGCATCAACATTTCCTCTCTCGCATCATCATCGCGCGTCCTATCGGACGCTTATGCTTTTCCCTTCTCTCATATGGACATGGCTATTCCATGCACTCCCTATTCCTCATTGGTATCATATGAGAACCTGGCACAGGTTCTGAAGGGGGAGAATGTAACGGATCGTTCATTATCTTATCTTATCTACATAGTTAATCTACATCTTGTATCTAAATCTGGATCGTCATGGTGATCGGCGCTGATCCATCTGGATCCGCGCGACGTGGCGAAGGCTTCTCAGCCTTTCACCACGTCCACCATAGTATACGCCCTCTCAATCTAGAGATTGGTTCAGTGTACTTTGGACTTGTGTGAATCAGGCGACACCCGTATCATTACAGTCTCCCTCTGGGACATCAGCGGCAGCTCGCGCCAAGTCGCCGCCCTCAAAGGCCATAGGGGTTCTGTCACGGGCTGCACGTGGTCCAGCGACGGTGTCCACATTGCTGCCCGAGACGACAACAATGCTCTACGAGTCTGGGATGGACGAAAACCCCAGCCGCTATTACTCGACGGCACCGACTTCAAGACAACCAATGTCAAGCCTCTATTCTCCCCTGACAGCCGCTGGCTTCTGGCCCACACTTGGAGGGACTGTGGTGTTTGGGACGTTGGATCTGGTGTATACCTCCCACTCCAATTCCAGCGAAATGGCGATGGCGATTTTGTGAGTGCAGCCGCATTCAGCCCGGAGAGTACACACCTCGCAATTGGATATGTCAAGGGGCCGATCCGCATCTGGTACATGGCGACTAGGTGCGACCCTCCGCTCCTATTGAATGCGCACCGGACCAACGATGTGGCCTTCTCCCCCGATGGTCGCCTGCTACTATCTGCGTCATGGGACGGCACGGTCAAGATATGGGATGCGTACACTGGTGCCATCGTTCGTTCACTTGAAGGGCACACCTCACCGGTGTGCACGGCGAGCTTCTCCCCGTGTGGAAAGTATATCGCCTCTGCGTCTTCTGACGAGACGGTGAGGGTGTGGAGAGCTAGCGACGGATCGTGCTTGGCAACGCTCTCCGATCACGATCAATCGGTCTTGCATGTTGCATTCACTCCCGATGGGACAGGGCTGTGGTCTGCGGCGGCAAATGGGACCGTCTTGGGTCGTCGGTTACAGGACGTCGCCGCGGACGAGTTCATCTTTTGAATAGAGATGTATGATGATCCCCATTTCGATTTTGATTTGTAGCTAATAGGGAGACGGACTGATGGCTGAGTAGTTGTGCTCCGCCCCCATTACAATGAAAAAGAAAGATATTTGATTAGTATGACGTCTTCCAGACTCGTATCGATTGGGAAACACATGGACACAGAGAGAGCGCGTCACTACAAACGCAATAGAACATTCCCAACGTCTTTGCAGGGTGGCCTCACTGGGCTGGCACCTATTCGTATTGCCATCCGACCTGTGATCTGAGGACCAGTGCGTTGACGATGGTATCGCAGGGACGGGGAACGCGTACGTACCAGCTGGCCGGACCGACGCAAAGGAAGCATTTGGAAGTCATGGCGCAGATACCTAGAGTGCAATGGATTGTAGATTCCAGGAATGAAACCGCGAGTCGGTGGGATGACCGTGAGATCTCACGGGAGAAGACATTGTAGTCGCTCGCCTTGCAAGTTGAGATGTTCCGAAGTGTCGGAAGCGACAATGACCTGGAACTTGTGAAGCGGTCAACATCAAATTGAGTGGAGAGAACGCATCGCGTGGGTAACAGGAGACCGTCGCACGGGGTCTGCAAGATGATCCATTCTGGTTCAGATGAATGACAGTGAGCGACAAGGGAAAGCCTCTCATAGTGCACACAAAGGCCGAGTCCAGAGCTCAAGCGCTCAAGCGGCAGCAAGAAAGGCAGCGTCGCAGACTGAGCAGCCGCAGCCGGTCCCCGGAGCGCTCGGTCCGGTGTGCGGCACCCCTGCTTGAGCGTCTGGTCCGCTCTGTTGAGACCCGACGGTCGACCTCATCGAGTCTGACCGCGCGGTCATCGTGCTCGATTCCCCTGGCGGCCACTTCTCACGCTGACATGTCTGGCCAACTGGAGCAAGCAAGGCCATCGGGAGCCTCTCTTCTCTTTCCTCCGCCCTTGACCACAGCCTCTATCCCACATGCAGCCTTATAGTCTCATGCATGTAGCCAATTACGCCGAACTCATGTGTGTTACATGCCTGCAGGTGTCATCGATTCTTGTCTTCACCTCTCTGCCTTTTGAATGCGACTCACATCGTGCAGATCTCTACATCAAAATGGTAGCTTGGTATCTCCGATAATTCTCGTACCGAGCGAATCGCCTGCTTCGCGCCCATTCTCCTCTTGAGCTGCCACCTGAAGGGGATGGGAACGAAACGGGCCTATGTCCCTGGGCCAACACATACTCTCCAGTACGTCTTCAGCCCCCTTTCTTCCGTACATCGTTTCCAACGGCTTCTGCATTGTAGCGCGCAAGCTACGCCATGCCCCATCTATGTCTCGTCGTACTTCGTCTTACTGTATCACATCGTAAGCATTTCGACACCTCGCAATCCTCTCTTGACAGCAAGCCATCGCGGCTTCACAAATCCTCTACCTCTCATTGGGGGCGATATCTGCGGTTCGTGCTGTGCATCCCACGGCCCACTCCGTTGCCTACCCTCTTCGCTCGACGAGCCTCACTGCTTTGAACACGCAGGCACGTCCCCGATCACGAAAATGGCAGCAGTGAATCTGGTAGCCAGCACGGTCTGGTGTTCAGTGCGGCTCACACGATGGTGCTGAGTGTAGGTAAGTCATAGCGACAGCACTTGAGTCGGTCTGTGGAGGGGGTGCAGAAGGTATGCCCCTGTTCTCCCCTACTGTACTTCCCATCTTTCCCGCCCACGATCCCTTTGTCTCCCTCCTGTAATTCTGTGGCCTTGCGGAGTGAAGTTATGGACCTATATCGGCATTTGGAGTCTCATCAGATCGTCCGCTGATGCCTTGGTTCTTGCCCATAGGACCGCGTACTCGTCCGCTCCCGATACATCGAGGTCACCGACGCAATTGGTTTGTTTCCCGAAGCCGGGTTTACAGTGCCTTCCCTTTAATCACTCGAAGCCACTCGCGACGCACCACTGTCTACGGGCAGAATTTAAAGCCGGACTCGTGCGCCGATGACCATCTGCAGTCGTCCGTCGACGACTGGACATGTCGACTGTACGGAGGCAGCTTCGTGAATCCTCATCGTCTTGCCGTACAATCATCCATACCCGATCTGAGCCGCATCTCCACCATCCTTACGTGTGGACCGTACCAGGAGACGGCCGGATCCACGCCCTGCAACGCTATGCAACTACGACAGCACATAGCACCCAAGCACGGTGAAGGCGCAGCAGCTAGCGCCGGCAACTGCCGGTCAAATGCAAACACAGGATAGAACTGGCAAGAGCTGTTCGTGCTCTGAGTCGCCGGCGGGTACTGTATGTGCACATTATCGGGCTGTTCTGCCCTCTGGCCGATCGCCGCTCTGAGTGCACAGCTAGAGGATTGCGTCCATAGAAATTCTCATCATTCATCCCAAGAACTGGTCTTCTTGTTTGCGTGCCGGAAGCCCCGGTTCTATTTTTGTACTAATGCTGCCGCTTGTACGAGCCACGTCAAGGGGCTCGCCGACCCAAGCTACTGAGGGTCTCGGATCTTCATACTGACGGAGGATTCCCGCTTTTGGATTCGTTCTCAACGGGGACAGAAGATTTACTGGATCAATTACGCCCAGGTACACGCCTAGTGGTTGCGTGGAGGTTCAGAGTCCACGCGTTATGCCTTCCATGGAGATCGACTCCAGGAAGCCTGGACGTGGGTTTTCCGACGGCTTCCCTTCAATCTGTGTTCCTTAGGTGAGCTCCATCACCATTTCATCCGCCCTTTCCCCGTTAACCAATACTGGCGGATCAGCAATGTCTGCTTCTGCATTCGGGGTTATCTTGCTGGTTTCCGAATGACCGGAATCGCCTGCTGTAAGTGTCCGTTCGCTCCTCCATGTCTCCGTGATGCAGTTTTATCTCAACCCTTGAACTGTAGGACATACACTCAGAGTTTCATCAGTACTCCCGTTCATGTCAACGTGACATACCAAGGGCACACTCCGATCAGCAAGCGAACCTGCGACTACCCGCCAGGGCCATCTGTTTCAATGGTTGGGTCATGGACAGGCATGGGGTCCTTTCGGCCTTTGACACCCCGACTAGGTTTGCCTCTAGTAGATAAGGCCCCCGCGATTGGGTGCTGACTGAGCAATCCCCAATGCCACTCCAATCTGCTTTGGTATTTCTCTTTGTGGGCCCCATCCTGTGGATTCTGGTCTGGAGGTTGAGGAGACGAGCTCATCTGCCGCTACCGCCTGGCCCACCGACGCTCCCGATCATTGGAAGTGCGCTGCATGTGCCAACAGACGGGCCTGCGGGCTTCCGCAACTTGAGTTCAAAATATGGTGAGTGTAGCCATGGTCTCGAGTAGATCGTGGCGGGCTGACGACTTTTGAAGGCGACGTCATGCACCTGGACGTCTTTGGTCAGCCTATGATCGTCCTCGGGTCGCATGAAGCCGCGTCCGACCTCTTGGAGAAGCGGTCCTCGAACTACTCGGACAGACCTCCCTCGCCGATGGTTGACATGTATGTTTTTCCTTGACACGTCCGCACATTCCGCTCGCTTACAATGTTTCCTATTCACCAGTGCTGGGTTCGGGTGGGCGTTCACTGTGCGGGAGTACGGCCCTTTTTGGCGTCGTGGGAGACGCGCCTTCCACCAGTTCTTCAACAAAACGGCCGTGCAGAACTACACCGCCGACCAACGCCGCGAGGCCCACCGTCTAGTCGTGCGGCTCATTGATCAGCCGGAGGAATTCGTCCATCACATTAGGCAGTAAGTCCTCCACCGCTCTTCCACCCTACCCTTCTTAGAAAGTTCGCTGTCATAACGGCCCCGCTAACGCAAGATCGCAGCCTCTTCGGCTCCTCTATTATGCGCATCGCGTATGGCATTGAAGTCGATGAGGAGCCTATCGATTACCTGCAGATGGCCGAGGACACCATGACGATATTTTCGGAAGCGTTTCAACCGGGTAAGTATCTCATGGAGACGCTGCCAGCTCTTCGGTATCTCCCTTCATGGATGCCGGGTGCGACAGTCAAGCACGACGGAGAGAGGTGGAGACCGATCGCGTGGAAACTAGTCGAGCGGCCCTGGAAGCTTGTTATGGCTGCGATGGTATGTCTCATTTTTGGCAATGTCTCTTAGCGGTCTCATAGGAGTTGGATTGCAGAGAGAGGGTACGGCGCGTCCATCCATGGCTTCGGGACTAATGGCCAACGTCCCCCAATCTAATGGCCAGAATGACCTAATCTCTGAAGAGGAAAATATTTACCGTGGCGCCACCGCCACGGCGTATGCCGGTAAGTTCCCCTCTCTGCCGGTAGGCTATTGGATGGCAGTTCGACTGACATGAGAGATCAGCTGGTGCGGATACTGTAAGAGCCAGTGTCCAAGCGCCCAGTGACTTCGGTATTGACTGGCAATCTAGACACTATCTTCGATTCAAAGCTTCTTCCTCGCGATGGCTTCCCATCCAGAGGTGCTCCACAAGGCGCAGGCCGAGCTCGACACGGTTGTAGGGCCACACCGCTTGCCCGAGTTCGACGACATGAAGTCGCTGCCGTACGTCTGCGCGCTCGTCAAGGAGCTGCTCCGGTGGCGGGTTGTCGTACCTCTAGCGGTTCCTCACCGGACGCTAGAAGACGATTATTACCGCGGGTACTTCATACCGAAGGGCTCTATGGTGCTCGCTAACATCTGGTGAGTTCCGCCGGATCGTTGCTCGGCAAGAGCTCTCTAGCTGATTTGCATGGCCTTCATGCCAGGGCTATCGCACGTGACCCGAATGTATACCCTAATCCAGGTGTATTCTTTCCCGAGCGTTTCCTCAAGGACGGGGAACTGAACCCAGATGTGCGCGACCCTGCCACGTTCTCGTTTGGCTACGGACGAAGGTATGTTGATTTACCATATCGAGTTCTTGCCTCTGTCATTGATCCTCTGTCTGCATTTTCTCAGGATCTGCCCAGGAAGGCACTACGCGGCTTCTTCGCTGTTCATGATCGCCGCCACCGTCCTGCACACGCTATCCATCACTGCCCCCCTCGGCAAGGATGGTAAGCCCGTCCCCCCCTCGGGTAAGATGACGTATGGGCTCCTGTCGTAGGTTTCGCCCGATTCACCCCCATGAGTACGCACTCAGCTCGATTTCATAACACAGGTACCCCGAACCCTTCGAATGCGTGATCAAGCCGCGCTCGCAGGAGTCCGAAGCCCTCATCAGAATGAGCTGTGGCGATGTAGATGGGCTTCGTACCAAGAGTGTATTATAGTGTCCATTCTTGGGAGGTGGCCGTTGTTCGCGACTTGCTGTGTATCCAGCCTCGCCCGTAATACGACCTACGACCCAGATTGATACCCTTCCAAGTCCGACTGGGACAGATCACACATCCGCGATCAGCAAGTATGATCAGGGTATCCTCAGGCGTGTATGTCACGTCCCAAAGGGAAGCTCATCGTTGCGGACGTGATGGTTCAGGTCGAGGTTCGGCAACTTATGAGCTTGAGTTGAAGTTACCGATACTTCATGCCCATGAATGGTAGGAACATCGACGCTACCATCCATAGCTCGTACTCCGCTACTATATATGGGCAAGAAGTACGTAGCGCGAAGTACCTCGGATAACCATATTTGCCGAACATAGGCCTGGAAGTACAGTAGTTAGTACGGGAAATGCCGCAATATAGAAGCGCCTGGCTTCCATATGTATCCCGCTTGATTCAAATTGGTAGAGACTACAACGAGGGGGCGCATGCGTGGCACTCCCATCCCAGCAAGACGGCAAGTGCGATTATCCCGAAAAGGCCGTATTCAATCACTCGAGTACACACGTCGCTGTTGGATATGAAAATGGGACGATCCATGTTTCGGACGTGGCAGTTGGACAGGGGCGTCGGCTCCAGAAGGCGCACGATGATGGGGTTAATGATATGGCGTTCTCCCCGGATGATCAGCTGCTGCTCTCGGCCTCGACAGACATGACGATGAAGACATGGAACGTGCGCACTGGTGCCATGGTCACGTCGCTCGCAGGGCACAAGTCGTCGGTGAACAAGGGGCGCTTTGTGCGTAAATGCTTTTCCCCGTTTGGTATATGGTGGCGTAAGAATGACTTTCTCATCTCAATGGCCTGGCCGGGGTACTTTTACCTGACCGTGTCACCAAACGCTTTCCGACTGCCCTAAGGGCGGGAATCTTAATCTACTAGACATGCCCTGAGACTTTGTATTTAGGGACCACGGTAGATTAGATGTACGGAAATCAAAAGCGTTCCCACTCAACAAGGGGCGCTTCTCCCCGTGTGGGATGTACGTCGCCTCTGCATCTGACGACGAGACGGTGAGGGTGTGGAGGACGAAGGATGGATCGTGCTTGGCAACGCTCTCTGATCATGGTGACTCGGTATCGCATGTTGCATTTACTCCTGATGGGACGATGTTGTGGTCTGCTGCAGCAAATGGAATCGTCTTGGCTCATCGACTACAGGATATCATTCCGGACGAATTCGAATCGTAGATTGACTTGTACAGCAGACGAGGTACCCCCGTTCCGCTTAGCATACTTTATGTCTGCACTGGAGAGTATATACATTGACCGCCAGAACAGCCTGTGTTCTCGCTCATGCTGTGCTATTCGGTATAGCTTCTCTCGGTTATTCATACAACCGTCATTCCCGTAACCGCCAGACTAACGTCGTGTATTGAATTAAACCTTCAGATCCCTCGACGCCCGGACAGCAATGCACTCTGCGATGCTGCTACTATATCCACTAGAAAGATACACCAGGCGCCAGAAACCTCTATGGACAACACTGCGGAACGTGAAGGCCATTCGAGTCACATTCCCCGCGTAGATGAGACATGACGAGCTATCCTCCTTGTTTCACTTTTCGACTCCGAAGCTCAGGTTTGCCGTCGACGACCTGACGTGCCTCAGGACAGAAGGCGCTGTCCAGCAGCTAATAGGCCCGAGGCCACAGTCTGGTACCCTTGCTGAGCCCCAGCGCACGCATGTTATGGTCGGCGGCTCCCGACAGGCCCTGCGATCCTTGGGTCCAGGCAGGGGACGAAGACTGTGCAACGTCCGCACGACGCTACCGAGCCTGCCATGCGATGTCCGTTCGATCCCCCGTCGCGCGTGCTGTGTCGGGCATAGCTAGTCTGTTCCTCGGCAGCGCAGTAAGCGATCACAGTGTTCCTTTGCAACGCATGTTGAACCCGCTACTAGTTCGGCCTTGCCTGTGTCGCTCTGCCCCTGGCAGTCCGTGATTCAACCTACGCATCTCGCGGCCGCACGCAATTGGGGCTGTGTGAAAGGAGCGTTTCGAGTGATTCAACGCGCAGGGCATTGACCGGGTCTTGTACTTTGTCGCTCCTTATGGAGCGTAGTGTAGAGCCTGTGCAGGTACGTCTGGATATTATACTTAAGGGCACCAAATCGTACACGACACGGCAGGGATTCGGATATTTCCAGCTGGAGAAAAGTCTTTGAAAAGGGGACGCGCGAGGCAAACAATCCGTAAATATGTGGCATTTCTGGATAAAAGTTATTGAAAAACGACGGGCGGTTGCCTTTCGCGTCCCCAATTCATCGACTTTTCTCCAATCGAAAATATCCGATTCCCTGCCGTGCGATGAGAAACGAATACGCGGTTGAATGAACACCCGAGATAAGCGAGCAACCGCCCAGGCACAAAGGGTTTGTCAGCGCTTGTGCGCCGACGTTGACAGATTGTGTCTCGCAGACAGTGGTCTTGGAACAACGCAGTAGTATTCAAGGCCAGTATTGCTCACCGTATCGCCCACCCTCCGGCCAAGTGTGTTCTCTGACGACTTATGTCTTCCATGGACGACCTCGCGCACTCCCTGCCCCTGTTACCTTCAATTTCCCCGGCCCTCCCATGGGAGGTCATCGAAAGGGCCATCGATCTCTGCTCCGATGACAACACCACCCTGCGCACTATCGCTCTCACATGCAGCCAGCTCCGTCCTCGTAGCCTCTTCGATCTCTACACAAAAGTCGACCTCCAAAGCACGAAGCAGCTCGAGAAGTTCTACGATGCTGTCCAAGCTCAGCCACACCTTCAGTCCGTCGTGCGATCTCTGTCATTTCCGTGGGAGTACTCTTTCTATCCATTCCCACTGCTGTCTATCCTCCCCGGCCTCCATCATATCACGTTCGATGGAAACTCGCCCGTTATAGGGGACGGCATCCAACTCTCCGAGTACCTTCTACTTCATGGTAGGCAATCCGTAACTAGCCTTCGGAGCCTGACGATTCGCAGCGCTTGGTTCCACTCGCAAACCGCTTTCCTTGGTTGCCTTTCAAGCTTCCCCAACATCGAGAATCTCACCTGCGAGGATCTGTTAGGCAGAAGCATTGACTGCTCTGGAGCTAGGCGAGTTATCTCGTCGGCTGAAGCTGCGAACGTTGAATGTGAGCGTTCTCATGATCATTTGCGTTCCCTGACTGTACACCTTTGCGTGCGCTCTCAGATACTTCAAGATGTGGACGAACGTATTACAGAGCTGCTGTTTCAGTTAGCCCTACTGGCGAACACTAGTCCGCTTGCAAATGGGGATCGTACTCGTTAGTGTCTTGTTCTGTTTCCCAGTCGTATACCTCACATCGTTCAAATTAGAATCACCGTCTATGGCGCCGACTCAATTAGGCCAAGGACGCCATACCTCCTTGACGTGGTGGATACGAGCCGAGACCGAGAAGCTTCAACATGCCGTCCACGCCTTGCCTAGGTCGAAACAAACGTCGATAAGAGACGTCAACCTGGTCATCTGGGATTACAAGTTCGGACGTCTATACAGGGAATGCCGTCGACCCGCCAACTTGGAGCTCTGTGCAGCATTGGAGAACGCCCTGCTCACGTATCCCGCCCATCGCGCACTATTGACGGTTCCCGGCGGCCCGGTCCCGAATGTGCGGAAGATGATCTCCTGGTCGGATGAGATTCGCAGGTTGTTTCGTCCACTGAGCGAGAAATGGGTAATGGCTGAAGACATCAAATCCTGTGAGTCTTGTTCACTAACCGTGATTCTGAGTTGGACGTTGACTTGCGTAGCCGGGAAATACGGGCACGACTCGCCCGTCACCACCCTTGTTGTCTCCTCAGACGGGCAGTGTGTTGCGACAGCCTCCACAGACTCTACCATCATCGTGTGGGATGCACGAGAGGCATGTATCTTGCAAGAATGGTTCACCTGCCACGGGGAGGTCTGGGATCTCGCGTTCTCACCAGACAGCCGACACCTCGCGTCTGCAGGTGAAGATGGGAAGGTCGCGATCTGGGACATCAGCGGCAGCCCACGCCAAGTCGCCAACCTCGAAGGTCACCCGAGTGTCGTCAAAGGCTGCACGTGGTCGAGCGACGGTGCCTACATTGCATCCCGAGACAGCGACAACGGTGTACGACTCTGGGATGGACGAACGTTCCAGCCGCTACCTCTGAGTCTCTTGTCTTCGCATACGAGCTCTCAGGAAACAAATTCGGACATAATCGGGCCCGCAAATGACCCTCGGACTTGAGAAGAGACCCGGTCCGCGTCTTCCTTCAAGCTGCCGCCTGGAGGGAATGCGACCCCAACACCTTGGCGCGTCGCACTTGCGCATGAATGTCACATCGCGTCTCTATCATCGGGGCCATCTCGCCTGCTCAACTTTCTCCCTCGCTCAACTTCTTCCAACTTGTCAACTCTATGCGTACATCCCTCGTGATGTACATCGCACAGGAGCAGAGCGGAAGGCTAACAGTGGCAAACTCAATTGCCGCGGTGCACACGTGCACAAACCGCTCTTCCCGTTAGTGTGGGACATAGGCAGTGAGTTATCCTTACCCTCTAGCTTCCTTTCGTTTCTTCCTGTCTGCCATGTTTTACATTCCATCTGCTCGTCTTGCCTGAAGATACCGTCAAATCCCCAATTCTGCATCTCGAGTCGAAGGATGCCTACTAACATGCTGTCTCTGGACGCATAGGGCATTCGCATCGCGTATCAGTTCCTCCGCAACATCCGTCCCGTTGATACCCTTTACCACGCATTCTGTAGATATGTTCGTCACCGAACCAAATGTGAAGACCGTCCGCCTACTCAACTGCTCGCTTGGTATGATCGGCTTCAACACGTACCCAGGCCGGATGTGTCCGGGGGCCAACCTATTGCCTTCGGTTGTTGATCCGGGCCTCGGTCGACTCAACGGTGCAGGTTGCAGTCCCATAAGGTCCTATCCCGTTCCCACATCCGCACTTGAGCTGATCCACGATGATATAGTGCATGCAATGGCTCGCCGATGAACACGGCACGGGCCGCGCAGCAGCCCCCCAACGCACCGCCCCGCGACGAGGACATGCAGGTTCTCGTCACACTCGACAACTGGTTTTTTACCGGCGCACCCGTCCAACATTTCCTCTCTAGAGAGAGCGCAAGCGTTGGCACAGTCCTCAAATGAGGCGCGTCCTGAGCTCTATACCATTGCGGCACTGTGCGCGCGACAGACCGGACGCTACCGGTGCTGCGCACGCAAGATGGATGGGCTTACGCTCATCTTGTACAGCCCGTTCTGTTGTGTAATCACTCTCCACGTAGTTTTAACGGAGATCCGGCTCGCTAAGTGCTGTAGAGGGTGTCTGGGCTTTGGCGGCAATGTGCCCCTCCTCCCCGCATCGACATGGACCGGCGATAAGAAGAAGGCCTTGCGGGCGGTATCCAGCCTGCCGCTTGGATGGGACCAATGACTGTGTTTCTCGGACCAGTATGTGGCACATCAGGTACGTCTTTCCCGCCTCCTCGTATGAGGCGTGTCGACACAGATAATTCGAATGACGCGCCTTCTCACCTCCGATGTAACATCAACTGGCGCTTCCGAGACACGTGCTTTACAGGCCCACAAGGACATAGCTGACCGTTTTCCGTGATACACGGAGTTTTTCGATCTCCTCATCAGGGTCACGGCAAGCTCGCCAATGAGGCCAGAATCTCCGGCAGAGATCGCACCGCGCAAGCTGCATTCGAACGGGCCCGTCTCGTTCATCTGTCTCGCTTTGTTTGTGGATCATCGCTACGCCAGCGTGAGCGCATGCACGGCTCGACGCGCCCACCCTAACGCCTCCGACATCCCTTGCCTTTTCTTCCCAGTGCCATGAGCTGGGTACACTCCATATCGAGTGCCCGGAAATCAATGAGGATGAATCGCTCCGCAGGGAGATGTCGGTCAGGAGGATGGTCTAAGCCGGTGTACCGTAGGCTGCGGTTCGAATCTGCATCATTCCGTTCTCCTCGAGATGTCGGTGTCGTATTGACAATGTATTTTACCGTTCGGCATTCGCATGCATATGTGCTGCCCAATACAAACAGCGATAGGAGTTGAGCTCGGAGTTGCAGTCCACGATGACCGCTTTGCGATGAACGCATAACGTTCGGATATTCGTATGAGAAATCGCGCGAACGAGTCCCTGTTGATGTCTGCCTGCATGATCTGATTGTGATCCCTTCGGGGATGCCTCGCCGCATGATTTGATTACGGCACAGCCTGCTCAAAAGCATCTGTTGCTTAGCCCAGCCCATCTCGAGCTCCCTGTGCTACCGCCGACAACAAGTGTCCTTTGACGACTCCTATCTTCTATGGACGACTTTGCGAACTCTCTGCGTCCCTCGCATTCCCCGGCGCTTCCATGGGAGGTCATCGAAAGGGCCATCGATCTCTGCTACGATGACAACACCACGCTGCGCACTATCGCTCTCACCTGCAGCCAGCTCCGTCCTCGTAGCCTCCTTGTCCTCTACACGAATGTCGATCTCAGAAGCACGAAACAGTTCATCAAGTTCTACGATACCGTCCAAGCTCAGCCACACCTCCAACCTGTCGTGCGATCTCTGTCGGTTCCGTTGGAGGATTGGTCTCCATTTCCACTGCTGTCCATCCTCCCCGGACTCCGTCATGTCACACTCAAGAAGATCTCGTCTCCGATTAGCCAGCTCCCCCAGTCCACTCTACCCTCCGGACCCCGGAGCCTGACTATCCGCGATGCCAGGTTCCAAACGCCAACCGCCTTCCTTCGCTTCCTTTCAGCCTTCCCGAGCGTCCAAATCCTCACTTGCGAGCGTCTGTTCGCGGACGCACATATACCTCTAGCGCTAGGTGAACTAGCTCATCAACTGCGGCCGCGAACGCTGAATGTACGGGTTTTCAAGTTCATCTGTGCTCATCCGCCTGACCCTCTGAATTGAAATTCAGATACTTCGAGATGTGGATGCACCCATCACAGAGGTACTGGTTCACATAATTTCTAGCCCGCTTGTGAATTCGAGATATACTCGTTCGTATCCGAGTCGCATTTCGTCTCATCTTCGCAGTTGTATACCTCATTTAATCCGAATCAGAACCGTCCTCTATACCTCCTCCTCAATCAAGTGGAGATGACCAGAGCTCCTTGACGTGGTGGATACCCGCAGAGACAGACAAAATCCGATATGCCACCCGATTCTTAGGCGATTTACAACAAACAGCGATACGAGATGTCACTCTGGTCCTCTGGGATGCCAGCGTTGGCGGCCTATACAGCAACTGTCGTCGCTACTCCAACCAGGATCTCTGTGCAACACTAGAGAATGTCCTGCTCGGATATCCCTTCCATCGCGTACGATTGACCGTTCCTGGTGGCTCAGTCCTGAACGCGCGGAAGGCGATCTCCTGGTCAGACGAGTTTCCCAGGTTGTTTCGTCCACTCAGCGAGAATTGGACGCTGACGGAAGACATCAGATACTGTGAGTTCCATTCAGTAAGCGTGAGTCTAAGTTGGACGTTGACTTGCACAGCCGGGAAACCCGGGCATGACTCGCCCATCACCACCCTCGTTGTCTCCCCAGACGGGCGGTTTGTAGCAACAGCCTCCATGGATTCCACCATCATCCTCTGGGATGCCCGAGATGCGTATATCTCGCAAGAATGGTTCTCTCGCCATGGGGAGGTCTGGTGTTTCGCATTCTCTCCGGATGGCCGACACCTCGCGTCTGGAGGTGAAGATGGGAAGGTGGCGATCTGGGACATCAGCCGCAGCTTACACCAGGTCGCCGTCCTCGAGAGTCACCCTGCTACTGTCTTCGGCTGCGCGTGGTCCAACGACGGTGCTTACATTGCGTCTCGAGAAGGCGGTGGCGCTACACGGTTCTGGGATGGACGAACATGCCGCCCGCTACTACTCGACGGCGCCAACTACCAGTACACAAGCGTCGAGCCTCTATTTTCCCCTGACGGCCGCTGGCTTCTGGCCTGCACTTTGAGAGACTGTATGCTTTGGGACGTTGGATCTGGTGCACACCTCGCACTCCAATTTCAGCGAAATGAAGACGACGACGACCATGGGGCCAGTGCAGCCGTATTCAGCCCGGAGAGTACGCACGTCGCTGTTGGATATGACAGTGGGGCGATCCGCATCTGGGACATGGCGACTAGGCAGGCGCATCTGCACCTGAACGCGCACGCATATCAAATTCACGATGTCGCGTTTTCTCCGGATGGTCGGCTGCTGCTCTCGATCTCGAACGACAATGAAAATATGGGATGCACATACCGGTGCCATGGTCCAGTCGCTTAAGGGACACGAGAGACGGGTGTGGAAGGCGTGCTTTTCCCCGTGCGGGAAGTATATCGCCTCTGCATCTGGTGACATGACGGTGAGGGTGTGGAGGACGAGTGATGGATCATGTTTGGCCATTCTGTCCGACCATGGTGATAGAGTCCGGCACGTTGCGTTCACCCTGGACGACACAATGTTGTGGTCCGCAGCAGACAACGGAACTGTTTTGGGCCGTCGGCTGAAAGAAGTCATCCCGGATGAGTTCAAGCTTTAGGTAGAGACGTACAGTGAACCGATGGACTCCGTTTGGCATCACATCTCGTATATCTACATCAGAATTCACTATGTATGTTGTTCGTCGAGACGGAGTTAATCTGAAGTCAAAGCGTAGACACTCGAGGGATGGGCTGCGAGATGACCAAGGAGGTTCGAGGCGTATACTCGAGTGTGAGACGGCTAATCTTTGTTCGCTGAAGACGACACTTTCGAAGAGAAGCAGTATCAATAAGCGTCGCACAGCAAGGCGCCAAGGGAATGAGAGAGGGGCAACTCATCTGGCTAGGGAGTGCGAGCAGTAACAACCCCGGTGTCCTTGTGAGCACGTACAGAGCCGGGTCTCTGCCAGCTAATGCGGTACACACTCAGAAGCCGACCCCGACGTGCAGCAGAGCGGGCTCTGTGGGACGAGTTCTGTCTTGACTTAGTCGAGCACAGGACTAGTACGAGAGAACTCGCTGCAGGGGTAACACATGAGGAGGAAGGAGAGCATAGGCGGGCGTAAGTCAGGTATACGGCACCAGTAATGCTCATTGTGCTGCGCAAGACATGCTTTGCTGCAATGATTCCGCGCGCACCACGCGCGTCGTTTGCGGGCTGCACGAGGGCTTGCTCTGTCTTGAGGGTCATTTTGGAGGACGATGCCGGTGAGGACCCAGTCAGCCAGTGTGGGGAGGATTTACACGGGGCAGCCGGCCGCCGTCCCTGAAGGCTGCGATGCGGCCTGGATCCTGCTGAGTCAAGCTACAGACATGTAGCATGTCTCCGTGATCAGCTAAAAGTCGAGAACAGGAATGGAATGGAGCTCAATGGCTGTGTCTCAATGTAGGACGATAAAACATGGCGTTGCATGGCGTAGCTTGCTCGCTACAACGCAGAAGCAGTTGGGGATGGTACAAAGACATGGCAAGGGGCTGAAGACGGTCTGTCCGATCCCATCCTCATCAGACGCTCAAGCAGGTGTGCCGCACACCGGACCGAGTACTCCGGACGCCGGATCTGGCCGCTGCCACTCGTCCCTCGCTGTGGCTTCTCTGGAGTCCGCTCTGCTGCACACTGGTACAAAGTGCTTTCCTTGCGGCTTCCTTGCAGGCGAACCGGAATGGAACAACTTGCACACCCCGTGCGACGGCCTCTTGTCACCGACGCGATGCACTCTTTCCACTGAAGTTAACGTTGACCGCTTCGCAAGTTCCCTATCATCAAACGCACCCGTACATCCTGTTTTGTGGATGATTTACGGAAAGTAACTGCCCATCAGGGCCCAGGGAGACTACTGAAAAGTGCATTGCACATGCTTGGTCTGTGGACAGTGGATTATATGGTGAGTACCTGCCTTGCCTTGAGCTTCACTCGCTACCTTTCTCCGTCCAAACTCATCCATGCTTGCTGAGATTGCGTTACCGGTATAACACAACTGCGTGCGGGCCCTTCAACATAACCCCAGCGTACGGAAGGTATGTTCAGGCTCCCCTACTTGTAGACGTACATGCTCACTTTCGACCTACAGCTGTCGAGCTCTCGTGTGCAACCCGGGCATGCAGAGCTACCTGCTCAGCCAATCCAGCCATTTAGCTCTGGTGCATTCGATTGCATGTTCTCTATCGCGCTCGGATTCTGTGTCTGCAAGGAGTGTCTGGGTGCGCCTTCCGCTGTTGTCAGAGAATTTCTTGTGCCACGGTTGGGTATCCCGTTTTGAGCTCGTACGGAGTAGTGCGCTCAAATCCCGATAAATGAGTAAACCCGCCGTAGAATCTCGTGGGTAAGCGATGGCGAACATAGCGTGGGAAGCCCCTTGCGACCCTTTCCCCGACACCCGACGCGATGGGAAGATGCACATGTCGGGTCGCCGTGCACCCGGCCAAGGACGACTTACCATGTGCAGCGGAGAGCGCATGTATCAGGATAGGTGAGAGGCTGGTCACGACGCTTTTACAACAGCTACTCTGCTTCGGCTGACACAGCTCTGTTCATTGCCAGTGCGACGCACCATGTCATCCAGACAGAGTCGACTCCAGGGATCCGTATCAGCTGCGTTTCCGATATGTGGCTCTACCGCGTCATCTTGGGCTCGGAGTGTACTACTAGCAAGCGCTGAAGCCTGAGGGGCCATGTCAAGGCAGTTATCCAACTTCTGTATCCGTATCACTATGCGAGATGTGGCATTGATCCCTCATGGTGCGGCCGTTTATCTTTACGAAAAAGGAAATGGAGGGTCACTTCTTATGCGAGGGTTGACGTTATCCTTACTAGGCAGCCACTCAGAGGCTTGAACCGATCGTTCGGGGGAGAGGATTGCCACTCACTCTACTTCCTTGAAAGTCTTATGACCGTCTTGTAATACAGTCGTGAAACCGTCAGCTCACGAGGCCACCGGGGGACATCCCTAAGTTCTCCGACTCCACGCGGCTACCCTTACTGACGCCTCAATGGAGGTAAGCGCGTTCCTGAAGGCCGGCATATATAAACCCGTGCCAGCTGTAGCCCACTAGCTGACGCATCGCTTCTCTCATGCTTGGTGGTGAATTCTCTCGTACACCTGCCCAAAAGGGGCCTGAGACTGCACCGCAGGATGACAAGTTTGTCCTGGGTCGCTTCTCCATCGACGAATACAAACCAATCAAGGTGATCGTTATCGGAGCTGGGTTCAGTGGTATCCTAGCCGGTATTCGGTGAGTAGCTATCTTGCCACACCACTGTTTGTATATACTGACTGGGACGTCAGTTTCCCGCAGAAGATACCCAACGTCGACCTAGTCATCTACGAGAAGAGCGCTGGAGTGGGTGGCACATGGTACAACAACAGATACCCGTGAGTTGCCATCGCCTCGTCCACCATATAGAAATGCGCTGAATGCGTGTCGGGCTGGAAGAGGTATCGCTTGTGACTTCCCAGCACACTGCGTACGTGTTTGTCGGCCACAACTCTCTTACTACGTTCACAATCTCTGCAGTATCAATTCTCCTTTGAGGATAAGGTAAGCGTTTACCAGGACATCACCTGGGACTAGGCTCAATTCATCCGCAGCGCGACTGGACCTCCCTTTACCCCCCCGGACATGAGACACAAGAGCACCTCCAGGACATCGTTGACAGATACAAGCTCATGCGCTACATCAAGCTCAATCACGAGGTCGCCCACGCTCGATACGACGAGTCAACAGGAAAGTGGCACGTCCGTATACACCGAACAGGCGCGGGGGGAGAAAACGGACCCGCATCAGACGAATTCGAAGACGTCGCAGATGTACTGGTCACGGCGTTCGGTGCCTTAACCCGCTGGAAGATGCCCGACATCCCCGGCATTGACGCCTTCAAAGGCGAGCTGCACCATACGGCTGGGTATAAACCCTCGGGAAAGACGTGGGAGGATGACTTGGACCGGTGGAGGGACAAGCGCGTAGGCGTAGTTGGTTCGGTGAGTAGTAATATGCTTCAGTAATGGATGTGTGGGGTCCTGAAGACTGCCAGGGCTCGACGGCTATTCAAACGGTTTCGGCACTTGCACCTCATGTCAAGGAGCTCTCGAACTATGTTAGGGGACAGACATGGCTGTCTCCTCCCTTCGTTTTGGACCAAGTGGCTCAGTTGCTGGGACGCAAGAAGGCGGTCGGGGAAAACGAACGTGAGTTGTGCAAGCATACATCGTCATGCCAGTGGGCTCCTCTGACTTCGATCATCGTTAGTTATGTTAAGCTCGGAGGAAATAGCACGGTTCCAGTCAGACGACGAGTTCTTCCGTACAGTCCGGCACACGCTCGAGGACGCGCTGAACGTGAGTATCTAAGCAGTCTACGTAAATTTGACGCACAATTGCTAACTATGAACCCAGTCGATGCATGCTTATACGCAGCTTGGAAGTAAGACGTCCAATCACTTCCAGGAAATGTTTAGGAAGAACATGAAGGAACAGTTAGCCGCGAAACCAGACGTCGCTGAGAAATGTGTGTATGGCTCATCCGTGGTGGTGCACAGATTGGTTGACCTGGTGATGTGCGTCGTACTCCAGTGATTCCGGGATTTCCGGTATCTTGTCGACGGCTGACACCGGGTCCCGGATACCTTGAAGCCCTTTGCGCGGATCACGTACAATTTAATCACTACTCTCATCTTAACGGTGCTCAAAAGTCAATTGGCTAGGTTGACTTCGTCTCGAGTCCCATCAAACAGTTCACTGCGACGGGTATCGAGACTGAAGATGGAAAGCACAAGGATCTCGATCTCATCTTTTGCGCCACCGGTATGTATCTTCCCTCCTTTCCACCAGATTGCTACCTACCTCATCGTCTGAATAGGCTACGACACATCATGGCAGCTTCCCTTCAAGATCATCGGGCGAAACGGCGTCGACTTGAATGAGAAGTGGGAGCCGTATCCAAAGACATACTTGTCGGTGGCTGTTGACGGCTTTCCGAACATGTTCATGTCCCTTGGACCGAATTCGGGCATCGGCGTGGGGACTCTGCTTCCGATAATAGAGCAAGCGGTCATGTATGCAGTACAGGCGACCGCGAAGATCCAGCGCGAGCGTCTGAAGAGTATGGAGGCCAAGCCAAAGGCTGTGAAGGATTTTGACAGGTACATTGAGGTGCGTTGTACTCGTCTGCATCGTGAAAGGGCTAAGGAACTGACCTCCATCTGTGTAGAGTTACTTCCCTCAGGTACGCAACGCTTATGTCTTTCACTTGGAGGCGCCTTACATAGGATCCCTTTCAGACCGTGTTCAGCGCCAATTGCCGCTCGTGGTACAAGCTCGGCAAGGCAGAAGGACGGGTGGTGGGACTATGGCCTGGTAAGTGCATTCCACTTCTGTGTCCACGTGCCCTCAACGAACCTATTCTGCATTTTCGATAGGTTCGAACTTACACGCAACGAGGGCATTGCAACATCCGAGGTGGGAGGATTATGAGTACGAATATGCTGATTCCGAGGACAACTTGCTATACTGGCTTGAGGACGGTCAGACGTGGGCCGAGAAAAGTCAGCAGGGAGACAGTAAGTCCAAATGTGCTGAATATATCCCGGGTCACCAACACACATTGCTGCAGGGGCATGGTACTTGCGCGAGGAGTTCATTGATCGACCACCCGGTAAGATATGCCGTGCCAACTACTGGTTATTATGTCTCTCATTCAATGCCTATGGATCAGTTCCTCAAGATGTGTAACCGAATGCCTAGGGTATGTGATCGCAATCGCTTTCCTTTGCCCATTTGAAGTCTCGCAGCTGTATAGTAGCTTATGCCGAATGTGCGAAACATATTTCCGCTCGTAGGGGTGGAACTTGTATCTGGGATATCGCCATGAACGTGTTCCACCCATTCAAGAAAGAGGAGAGCCGAGTGAGTGAGGAGATCACCGGGTTGAAGGGCGTTTATGATGCAGCGAGCGCGCGCCTCGCAATCTAACATATGGATGGAGGGATTCGTGTTTGCCCTTTCTCGTGAGGGCCATACCAATTTTCTCAGCACAGTGGCACCTTGCTGGATGGCCGAGTACTGCTATCCTATCCGTATTGCAGGATACGCTGTCCTCACTAGAAGTAAACAAGGACCGCGTGCTTGTCCGTGCGGGCCGTATGTCTGCCTCACCCGCGATAGGATCAACGGCGTGGACTGGAGCGCGCAATGGAACTGTCGTCGATCATCACCTGCTGTGTGCCATCAAGGACGAGGTTTCTCGGATTATATACTACCTCCCGGTATGCGGTCGTCAAAGTCATTTACAGGATACCATTGTCGGTTTTGAAAGTGCATGCACTTTAGATAGGGGTCAGCTGGAAGGTTATCGACTGCTTTACGGCCTATATGGAATAACCGAAGTACAGTCTAGTCTTTGGCATGCATGGCCATGCCGGGTTTAGTACTCTTATCAGACCCCAAAGATGGTCAAGTAGACGCACATACTTTCAAGACGTATCTTTCGCTGCCAGGAATTCAGTACAGAGGAGATGCCAGAGAAGAAAAAGGCTGCCAGTTCCTGTTGATGATCATGATCTGGCCCGACTTAGCCCCAGACTCAGACATCTTGTTGACTGACATCCGACTTCGCCGCTATCATATAGCTCCACGGGTGACGCTCTTGCCGAGCACAAATATCCTCGACCAATAAGCACATTGCACCGACGCCTCCTACTACCTACTTCCATCTCCCCACCTCTGTGCATATTATCCCTTGCTGGGACTGGGATTGCCTCTCGCCTGCTATGGTCCGTGATAACGGCTGTAACAGCAATATCTCACGCAGACCTCGCTACAATGTTCCTCGGCACGCACTGTTATGGGTGCCTATGCCTGTAAGTCCCTTCTTTCTGACCGCATTAGTTCCCCTGTGAAGCCGCGTCTTATAGTAGGTCATACACGCAAGCTGAGGTCTTAGTGAGGTACATTGGTAGCAACGAGGTGCCAGTGGCAGTGCGCATCTATGCGCGCTTAGCAGATAAAGTTTTGGCGTCGCGGTGTCTCGCAGCCATCCTTCCCACTCGCAATCACAAAGCTATGTCGCTTTTCTATGTGACATGATATCTCTTCACCTGCCATAGTAAGTTCCGGACGTCCTAAGGTTGTGGCTTCACGCTGTCATGATCAGGTCTCTTACTCGGAGCCAAATTCGGACGTTGGGGCTCTTCATCGGTGCTCATGCCGTTATGTACGTGATTACTTTATGTACTCAGAAGTAACTCAAACTAGTTATGGCTGTTCATCCCCTTAACGAGAGAACTGAGGATATCTTACAAATCACGAGAGACTACGCGCCATATGGCATCCTATTGCCGATTTTGGCGGGTGTATGGCAAGCTGTGGCCAGACCTCCGGCATTGCCAGATGAAAGCCGTCCATGCTTGGTACTTCACTGTGCACATTTGCTGATGCCCAAACGCGAGGCCTTCAGGAGTGCACCATCGGCGGCCGGTGTGTTCAAAACTCGGCACGCAGGCGTCCACCATCATCCAGTCGGAGACAACCAGAACAGCTGGGGAGGGCCCGGCCCGAGATGCATCCTAATCGTTCGCGATGGTGTCGCGTGTTTACGCTGGTGAGGAGACTACGGACTCGAATCTCATACTCTGCAGCGTCGTTTCAGATTTCACTACTAGCTAATAGGGCTGCCAGTGCCTATCCAAACGCCAAGGCCAAACGTGTAGGCAGTTGTCCAATGCTACGATATCATAGTACAGGCTAATTGAGCCGCCTCTCAGGGTGCGAGATAGCTTCCCGAAGAAGAGTCATGGAAGCTCACTTTGCAAAATTTACAGTATTCATACACAGCCAAACCTTTGGGAGAAGGGACACTACTATTCCCTATGCTTCCTTAGTCGTTCGTGTGTCATGCTCTCGGTATACGGCCTTGGCGTGAAACCGTCAGTTCACGAGGCCACCGGGGGACATCACTAAGTCCTCCGACTCCACGCAGCTAACCTTACTGACGCCTCAATGGAGGTAAGCGCGTTCCTGAAGGCTAGCATATTTAATCCGTGCCAGCTCAATCCTTGCCGTTACAGCCCATCAGCTGAACCATCGCTTCTCTCATGGTTGGTGGTGAATACTCTCGTGCACCTGCCCAACAAGGGCCCGAGACTGCACCGCAGGATGGCAAGTTTGTCCTTGGTCGCTTCTCCATCGACGAATACAAACCAATCAAGGTGATCGTTATCGGAGCTGGGTTCAGTGGTATCCTAGCCGGTATTCGGTGAGTAGCTATCTTGCCACACCACTGTTTGTATATACTGACTGGGACGTCAGTTTCCCGCAGAAGATACCCAACGTCGACCTAGTCATCTACGAGAAGAGCGCCGGAGTTGGTGGCACGTGGTACAACAACAAATATCCGTGAGTCCCATTTCTGGCCGAGTCGGTACTGCGCTGACCGGCAGTCCGGGCTGCAAGGGGTATCGCGTGCGACGTACCTGCACACTGCGTACGTATCCAACAGTGAGATTTTCAACATCGTGTTACTGACGCTCGCTATAGTACCAGTTTTCCTTCGAGGACAAAGTAAGCGTGTTCATTTGCATCACATGTAACTTCGCTAAGTTCCCTCACAGCGTGACTGGACCTCCTTCTATCCCCCTGGGCACGAGATCCAAGAGCACCTCGAAGACGTCGTCAGCAAATACAAGCTCATGCGCTTCATCAGGCTCAACCACGAAGTCGTCCGCGCGCAATACGACGAGCCGACGGGCAAGTGGCACGTGCGCGTTCGCCGGACAGACCAAGCCACTGGTGCTCAAGAGGAGATAGAAGACGTCGGCGACGTCCTCATCACCGCCTTTGGGGCAATCACCCGCTGGAACATGCCCGACATAACTGGGCTCGCCGACTTCAAAGGCGAGCTGCACCACACGGCGGGTTACGCGCCGTCGGGGAAGACGTGGGAGGACGATCTGGAGAGGTGGAAGGACAAGCGCGTGGGGGTTATCGGCTCCGTGAGTCGTACAATGAGCGCATGCTTCACGTTACTGAGGAATGTATCAGGGCTCGTCGGCGATCCAAGTGGTCTCGGCACTTGCGCCCCACGTGAAGGAGCTGTCAAACTACGTGAGGGGGCAGACGTGGCTGGCTCCTCCCTTCGCTGTGGGTCTGATGTCCGAGTTACTGGGACGTCAAACGGCGGCGACGGAAGCTGATCGTGAGTCGCGCATGTGTCTCTGATGATATTACTAGATCCATTGGAATCGATCTATTGTCAGTGTCGTTGAGCCCGGAGGAGATCCGGCGGTTCAATGCAGACGAGGAGTTCTTCCGAAACATTCGGCACACCCTCGAGGACACATTGAATGTGAGTCGCTGAGCCGAACCCCCTCTGTCTTCGCTTCTATGTACAGCTCTTTACTATCGTTACAGTCGATGCACGCCTACACGCAGCTCGGGAGTAAGATGTCGAATGACTTCCAAGAGATGTTCAAGAAAAACATGAAGGAACAGCTGGCTGCTAGACCAGACATTGCCGAGAAACGTGAGGTTCATCTCCTCGCGATGATATACATGCACCTTCATGCGACGTTATGCCCTGTGTTGCAGTGATACCTGGCTTCCCTGTGTCTTGTCGGCGACTGACACCGGGTCCCGGATACCTTGAAGCTCTCTGCTCGGATCACGTATGTCCCAACAAATCTCATGTATACTGACCGCCACCTGAAGCTGTGTATCATACAGGTCGACTTTGTATCGAGTCCTATCAAGAGGTTCACGGAAACAGGCATTGAAACTGAGGACGGGAAGCACAAGGACCTCGAATTCGTGTTTTGTGCTACGGGTGCGACTTCGCGCTATTTCGCTTACTCAATGCCTGGCTAATCATACGTACAGGCTACGACACATCATGGCAGCTTCCATTCCAGATCGTCGGCAGGAACGGCGTCGAACTCAACGACAAATGGAAGCCGTATCCTACCTCGTACCTGTCGATGTGCGTCGACGGCTTCCCGAATATGTTCATGTCGCTCGGCCCGAACTCGGTCATTGGTGCTGGGCTCTTGCTCCCCATCCTCGAGTTCGCGGTCATATATGCGGTACAGGCAACTGCGAAGATACAGCGCGAGCGTCTGAAGAGCATGGAGGTGAAGCCGAAGGCTGTAAGGGACTTTGACAAGTATGTCGAGGTGCGTCATCGTCATCATCTGGATCCTTGGGTTCTGGCGCAGCTGATGTCGGCATGTTTTGAATAGAGTTACTTCCCTCAGGTGGGAGAAGTCCATTCTCCTGGTGGATGTCGCTCACTAGCTATTCCCTTCAGACCGTATATAGCGCGAATTGTCGCTCGTGTTACAAACTAGGTAAGGAGGATGGACGAGTGGTCGGGCTGTGGCCCGGTAAGTGCTTCAGACCTTGTATCCGCGCCTCTCTCCATGTCTCATACTGGAAATCGCCACAGGTTCCAGCCTCCATGCAATGAAGGCCTTGCAAAAACCGAGATGGGAAGACTATGAATACGAATCTGCTGACAGCGAGGAAAACTCGCTCTTTTGGCTCGGGGATGGTCAGACGTGGGCCGAGAAGAGTCAGCATGGAGACAGTAGGTTCACACCCCTTCTCTAAATACATTCCGGGTCGCCAACGTGCATTGCCGTAGGGGCATGGTACTTGCGAGAGGAGTTCGTTGATCGACCACCCGGTAAGACACACTGTGCCCGTTGCTTGTCATCATGTCTCTAATCTAAGGTCCATAG